TCTTCTGCTGAGATGAATGAGAGAAGACAAAAGGGGTTGTGTTTCTTCTGTGATGAGAAGTTCTTCCCTGGGCACAAATGTGGAGGATCCAAGTCATTGTACCTACTGGAGGTTGAAGATGAGAGAGAGGACCAGGAAGAAGAAGAGGTGGAATTAGAGAATCCTGAGCCAGAAAAAGATGAGGAAAAATGGGAGGTTTGTGAGATTTCAGTGCATGCTCTACATGGGCTCCCTACTTACCACACTTTAAGAGTGAGGGGTACTGTCAGAAGAGACCACTGCACATTTTGATTGACCCTGGTAGTTCTCATAACTTCATGGATGAAGGGTTAGCAAAAGAACTCCAAGGAGATGTTCAGGCTGTGAGGACTCATGCCATCAATGTTGCAGATGGTCATGATAGACATACAAATGAGTTGTGTAAATCCTTTTCGTAGATGATGCAGGGCATGGTCTATATAGCTGATTTCCTATTGATACCCCTTAAATCATGTGACTTAATCTTGGGAGTATAATGGTTGCTTCCTTTGGGTGATTTAAGGATGAATTTTCAAGAACTGACATTGGGGTACACTTACCAGGGACATGATTGCATGTTAAAGGGAGTTGTGAACACGGTAAAAATGGTGGAAGCCAAGAGATTAGATAAGATGGTAAAAGGAGGAGGTTAACTATTCATGATCAGGGTAAGGCCAGTAGAAGAGGAGGTGAAGAAGGTATCACCAGTACCAGAGGAAATCTTGGCTATCACTGAAGAGTTCCCTCAGTTGTTTGCTGATCCAAAAGGGTTACCACCATCGCGAGGACCATTTAATCACAAGATACCTCTGGAGGCTGGAAGTAATCCTGTGAACTTGAGGCCTTACCGGTACTCATCAACACAGAAAGATGTTATTGAGAAGTTGATAGAAGAAATGCTAGAACAAGGCATTGTTCAACCTAGTTCCAGTCCATATGTTTCACCTGTGGTGTTGGTTGGCAAGAAAGATGGGAGTTGGAGGTTGTGTGGTGGATTATAGAGGGCTCAATAAGGCAACAATTAAAGACAAATTTTCCAATTCCTATTATAGAAGAGTTGTTGGAAGAACTAGGGGGGCTCTAACATCTATTCTAAGATAGATTTAAGAGCAGGTTATCATCAAATAAGGATGGCCAAAGGAGGACATTGTTAAGACAGCTTTCAGAACACATGCAGGCTATTATGAGTATCTGGTCATGCCCTTTGGGCTATCCAATGCTCCATCCTACTTCCAAAGTTTGATGAATTATGTGTTTAAAGAGCACCTCAGGAAGTTCATATTAGTTTTCTTTGATGATATTCTAGTGTTCAGTAAAAGTTTAACTGAGCACCTGGCTCATCTCAAAACGACCTTTGAATTACTGATGAAACACAAGTTGTATGTGAGACAAACCAAATTCTCTTTTGGGGCCAGTAGGGTTGAGTACTTGAGGCATGTTATATCTGCTAAAGGGGTGGCAACTGATCCCAAGAAGATTAGTGCTATCAAAAATTGGCCATTACCTAAGAATTTGAGGGAACTTAGGGGGTTCCTAGGACTGGCAGGTTATTACAGGAGGTTCATCAAACACTACGGAGTGATCAACAAGCCTTTAACTGACCTACTGAAGAAAGATGGATTCAAATGGTTTGAAGGGGCATCTCAGGCTTTTGAAAAGCTGAAGAAAGCTCTAACTTCAGAACCTGTCTTAGCGTTACCAAATAACTCTGCTATGTTCATTGTGGAAACAGATGCATGTGACTATGGTATTGGAGATGTGCTGATGCAGGAAGGGCATCCAATAGCCTTTCTTAACAAGGGGTTATCTAGGAGGCATCAAGAACTATTTGTGTATGATAAGGAACTATTGGCTTTGGTCCTAGCTGTGACTAAATGGACACAATACTTGGTGGGAAGAAGTTCATTGTGAGAACTGATCAGAAGGCATTGAAGTTCTTACTAAACCAAAAGCTACATACAGGTTCTCAGATGAAGCGGATTGCTAAGTTGATGTAGTTCCACTTTGAGATTGAGTACAAGAAGGAAAGAGAGAACAAGGCAACAGACTCTTTATCTAGGGTGCAACTAGGAGAGGTGACAGTCATGGTTGTCATTCCTGAAATGACTGAAATGTTTGACAGAATCAAGAGTAGTTGGGCTGAAGATACTACTATCAAGGAGCTTTTGATGAGGGTCCAGTCTCAAGAAGAGGGGGTCAAGGAGTTTACATTTTTGAATCAACAACTCAGAAGGAAGGGCAAGTTGGTTGTGGGTGCAAATCCAGGGTTGAGAGACGAGATCCTCAAAATCTGGCATGAGAAACCTATCGGGGGGTATTCTGGTATTGAGAACACCTACAAAAGAGTTTCCAGCTTGTTCTACTGGCCAAGACTGAAAAAGGATGTGACTAAGATGGTAAAGAGTTATGCCACATGCCAGAGGAGCAAGTATGACAGTGCTGCCTATCCAAGTCTTCTCCAACCTCTGAAAATACCAGTTTCTGCTTGGGCTAGTGTGAGCATTGATTTCATAGATGGGTTGCCTAATTCAATGGGTAAAACTACTATCTTAGTAGTGGTGGATAGACTTACAAAGTATGGGCATTTCATAGAAATTAGCCACCCATGTACAACTAATTTTGTGGCTCAAGTATACTTGGATCAGGTTTACAAACTCCATGGGATGCCAGAAAATATCATCAGTGACAGGGATCCAATATTCATTAGTAAGGTGTGGCAGGATCTCTTTGCAATGCAAGGTGTCACCTTGAGTACCTATACTGCATACCATCCTTAAACAGATGGTCAGACAGAGGTACGCAATAGAACATTTGAGACTTATTTAAGATGCTTTTGTGCTGATAGCCAAAAAGATTGGGCCAAATTCCTGTCACTGGCAGAATGGTGGTATAATACCACTTTCCATTCAGCAATCCAAACCACTCATTTTGAAACGTTATATGGTCAAACCCCACCTATCCACCTTCCTTATGTTCTCGGAGATTCAGCAGAAAAAGAGGTAGATAGGAGACTTATCACTACAGAATTCAAGATTGAATTACTCAAATTCCACATCTCCAGAGCTCAATAGAGAATGGTATCCATGGCAAACTTACATAGGACTGATAGACAGTTTAAAGAAGGAGAATGGGTGTATCTGAAGATTCAACCATACAGACAGCTCACCATCTTTAACTAGATTTTTTCTAAACTGTCAGCTAAGTATTATGGTCCTTATCAGATTCTGCAGAAGGTTGGACCTGTTGCCTACAAGTTATCACTTTCTCCTCATGTGGCTGTCCACCACACTTTTCATGTGTCACAATTGAAGCCGTGCTATGCAGTACCTACTCACTTAAACATCCTCCAACAGTAAATGTGTCTTCTCCAAATTGTGTGCAGCCTAAAGAGATACCAGAAAGGAGAATGATCAAGAGAAGAAACAAATCCATTCCACAGATACTTGTTCAATGGGATCAGATGTCAGTAGAGGATGCAACATGGGAAGACTATGCCACACTGAAGCTGAGGTTCCCTAAATTCTTTTCTTGAGGACAAGAAAGTTTTTAAGGAATAGGGAATGATGCAAGAATGGATTCAGAAGCTTAGGCAGAGTGTGTATTGTGTGTTGGAAGGGTTGCACCTAGCCGTTAAGTTGGTTAGGTTTTATTTAAGAAGAATAGTTTCATATTGCTCAGTTTAGTCCAATAGGTTTTAAAGTTGTTTCTATTATTATCAAAATTGCCCGATATGTTTGAGGATTGGATACTTTAGGTCCAATTGTTGGGCACTTATGTTTTGTACTGTCCAGCAGGAATGTTGGGCTATTTAAGTATTGTATTTGTCCTTGTTGAATTTAAGCAGAGAATTGTTTAGCTAAATAGAGCATAGCTTGTTTCTTACTCTTTTCCTTTTCCTTTCTTTCTTTTCTTAGCTTCTTACTCTTCCATTACTGTCTTATTACTTTTCAGTGTTGTCCTTAGCTTAATTGTATCAAAGTATTTATAGGGAAGAAATTAGGGTTCCAAATGGGGGGAAAGGGATCAAAATCCGGATGAGACAAGGCCCATTTCGAATTCAAATTCGAAAATCTTTCACCATTTTGGGAGAGACCTTTTTTAGAAATTTTCTCCCCATTCCGAAAGAGGAAAGGGGAGAAAACGTATGCTGCTGCTAATGTACGGATCAAGAGGGACATGAGGAAGGAGACAAAATCGCAGCGTACCCTCTCTGTTCCTCGTTACTTTCCGTCTGTCTCCGTATAAATTAACGCCGCTACTGCTGGCTTGTGAAGGTTGGAAAGAATTGGAGTTGGACGCCGCGAGATTGCTGTTGGAATTTGACGATGTACTGTGCTGTTCACGTTGGACTGCTGTTGTGTATAGTTGTTGCTAACGTCTGGGAATATTGGAAATTTTTGGGTTCTTTTAGAATTGGAAATGGGCCAGGTATGGGTTGAAAAAGTGGGCTGGGTTGTTTGAGGCAATAAGGGCTGCTGGAAGCAAGTGGAAAGGCCCAAATTCTTGGTCCTTTTAAATGGGTTAGGGATAGAATTAGATCGGTTAGATTTCTGAGTTTAAGCAATAACCAAATTTAGTTAAACTAACAAATTCGGCTAAGATCTAAATAAGATGAATTAATGTTAATTAATTAACGAGTTTCTTGATCTTAACGAAATAAAATAATTAACTTAATTGTAAACTAACGATTTAAAATTATAACCAAAACTTAAACTAAACTAATTTAATAAAATACTTACTAAAATTTTAAAAAAAATTGAAATGATTTTCAAAATGTTTATAAAATACGATAATTATATACAAAATTGTATAAAAAATATATATTACTTAAGAATTATAAGGATGCTAAAATTACTTCAAAGTAGCCTAAAAAAAAATATTTTGAACTTTATAAAAACCAATTATTTCAAATCGTTTGAAATTTAAGAAGCTCGTGAATTAATTCCTATCGGGGAAGGTCAAAATTGGGTGTCAACAATGAACATGTGGTTTAATCGTTGATATATTCAATTAGGGCTTCAACCAGTAGTGATATGCTATCGGAAAAGGTCCATTAAGCAAGTCTAGTAAATGACTTTCAACACTGTTTTAGCAGCTGAATTTGACTATAATAAATGACTTCTCATTTTAGTTAACAAAATTGGAAAACAAATCACGTTCATACATACTACTCTCCCCAAACCTCACTTGTGGAATTATATTGAGTGTAACAATGTAACTTTACCCAGTCAATAAGTTGACTTCTTCAATGTGTTATTACTCCATCCGTTTCAAAATAAGTGGTGTTTCACATAATCAAGAATACATTAATGATGTTCTTTCAATTTTACGCTTATTCAAATAAAGAGCTATTGACTAGAGATGGAAAATCAAGACAGCGAGTAGGAATGGCCTAAAGCCGACCCACTATAAGAGTTCTTAAGCTTGTATGTCCACAAAGGGTTAGTGGTTTACAAGAACATACTGCTACGTCCCTGTTATGAGGGGAACTTTGCATCAGTTCACTGATTAGGACATGATCAGTTGTTCAATAGAGAAAATTCTAAACTTGCTTTCTGAACCTTTTCCGATAAATAGCACAGTAAAGCTTACTGCACACTACCAGTTGAAGTGCCTAATGCAAATGCCAGCACTTAAAACACATGTTCCGCAGCCGCACTTCAACAGTATTATACTTATTTTCATACATGAATTGAGAAGTCTCTACATGATATTAACATGAAGCTCAAAAATTTAATATAGAAGTTACTGAACATTACAGTTCATGAATTATAATCTCATAAACCTTAAGTTATGCTAGAATTGGAAATGTTGCAATATTTGACATTATGCAACCACAAATTGGTTCCTAAAAAGACAAAACCTTAAGCATATTGTTTACCTTCGTCCCGATAAAATTGAAGGAATTTTTGAACTGATAATGGCTTCCCTCTGTTGGTTTCCTGCCCAGACCTCAGGTACGTGTGTGAAATCATAATCCAAGTTGGTTTCAACAGTCACCAAACCTTCCAATGACTTAACCACCAATGACATGGAAGGCCTCTTGGAAAAATCACCCTGTAGACACCATGCAGCTAGGCTCATCATTTCTGTCACTGCTTCCCTGTGGAGCTGCATATCTTCGTTGTTTTTGTCAACCATATCCATGAGCTGCTCTTGTTCAGCTTTTCTCCTAAATACACTTAGCAAATGGACATCTTCTTCATCAGCTTGGGTCCAATCCAAATTCTTTCGCACACAGAGAATTTCCAAGAGGACAATTCCAAAAGCATAAACATCAACTTTCTCAATGATTACTGAGCTCAACCATTCAGGGGCTAAATAACCCCGTGTTCCTCTCATTCTAGTCACAACTTTGCTTTTGTCTTTCTCAATTAGCTTCGACAACCCAAAATCTGATATCTTAGCATTGAGATATTGATCTAGAGGGATGTTTTGTGGTTTGATGTCCAAAGGAATTATCTTATGGCTGCAATCCTCATGTAGATACGCTAAGCCTTTGGCGATATCTGATATTATCCTCTGCCTCGTGTTCCATGTAAGCCCATTCTCTTGATTCTCATGCGTAATCCACCTATCCAATGATCCATTTACCATGTACTCATAGATAAGAAACCTGTGGCTTTTTTCTGCACAAAATCCAATGAGTTTTACCAGATTGATATGGTGAATGCCACCGACTGCCTTAACTTCTGTTAAGAATGATTCCTTTACTTGACCTAGACCATCCAGATGCTTCACAGCTATTTTGGTGCCATTTCTCAGTGTTCCTTCATAAACAGATCCAAATCCTCCTTCCCCGAGCTTACTACTGAAATCTTTTGTAATTACTTTCAGCTCATTGTAAGAGAATCGAGTTAGAATTCCTGGTAAGATTGGTTCCAGATCAAGAAAACCCGCAGCCTTTCTGGACTCATGTATCCTCTTTTTGAAGATAACAAAGCAAGTAGCTATGCTTAAAATTATCCCGAAGAAAGCTGCAAGAGTAGATCCTATAATCACTTGGAAAGGTCTTGATTTCTTTCTTCCAGGAATGATTGAAGACTGATTCTGCACCGTAAGAAATACTGTCTTGCCTCTTCCTTGTCCGTTGTTGTCTATGAGAGAGAAGACTTCATTCAGTAACAAACAGCTCCCTCTTCGATTCCCATACAAATTATATTCAAAAACAGCAGCTTTGCATGAACAGTTTCTCAGACAGGCCCTTTTGCAATCTTCCAACTTTTTCTCCTCAAGCCAAAATATGATCGAACTTGGTTCATGATTATACTGAAATGAAAAATATGCGGTATCCTTGAGCTCTATGAAACTATGGTACTGCAAAGAGGGGCAGTAAATGGAAGTCAGCTGTGAACATCCAAGATCTGGTTTCCTCTCAGAAGATGGCCTGAAGAAATTTTCACGAGGAAAGAAAATATAAGTCATAATTTTATTCAACAGAGGATAAAACGAAGCATATTATTGTTACTAATGACTTGAATATGCTAACTTTATTATAAAAAGAAAAAAATTATTATCCGTTAAATCCAAAGTTTGTGCTCCAACAGCTTCTTTGAACAGAATTTATTTAATTTTTCATAAATTGAAATTTATAAAATGGTAGATTTGTAATTTTTTAAATAAATCAATTTTATTATTCTATTCATTTTATTTTATGTAAAGAAATTTGAGCAAGTTAAATAAAATTTGCACTGATTAGCATATTCAAGTGCGGATTCAAGTCATTAACAACAATTATATGCTTAATTTTATCCTCCATTGAATAGAATTAAGACTTATATCTTCTTTCCTCATTAATTTTATTTTGAATCATTGACGTTACGTTATTGTTCTTTTCATAAGAGTAGTTTGAAGAAAAAAGTGTTGAATAGAGAAACAACTTAAAAAATGCGTTAAAGATTTAATTTCACGAAGATTTCCATTGATATAAACCTAAGCTATTTATATTTAAAAAAATGGACAAAGACCAAGCCTGATAAGTTTCTGAATACTTAAAGGACTAAAATTGGTAAGTTTATAGTTAAGGGACTAAAACCGGTAAGTGTATAATTGATGGACCAAAGCTGATAAGTTTTTCAATAGTTAAAAGACTAAATCCGTTAAGTTTATAGTTAATGAATCATTTTAGACCTACTCCTATATTTAAGGGACTATTTATGTCATTTTCTCTACAATGATTTCTCATTTTAAAACACACCTGAACTGCTATTTTTTCGCGAATTTCATATCCAAACTAGAAGTTGATCTTTAACTATCTAAACTATTGCCATCTATATGTATTAATAAAAGACATTCCTTTCTAATTGAATATTTTATGTGTAGTTCAAGTTAAGTATATATCGATTGAAAATTAAAGTTGTCCTCAGCATGAAAATATAACAGTCTCGATCAAAGTTTACCTAGGTTTGGCTTGATTCGGTCTAGGCTAGGGCTTGGCCAAGGTCGGACACGAATGAGCCACTTGGATTTATGAAATTAGTACTTAAAAATAAAAATCATGTATTCGGCTCAAATATTGATTAAATTGGTACGTTAGTTTAGTAATTACTTTTATTAGTGCAGTAATAACAGAAAGTAAATGAAAGTCGTAGTGACCTTGATTTATCTTCAAGGTTGAACAATAATGAAATTGTAACTTGGAAATGGTCAAAATGGTCCCATTAGTGGAAAGATAGATCCTGGCCCCATTATTTTCCTTTTGTACCGAACACAATCATAGTTAGTTTGGAAAAAAAAAATCGCACATTGAAAAAGTTTTTTTGAGGCCCACTCTATATTGAATGGGCAAAGATTTAAGAAATTCTGTACATTGGAACATCAATTTTGACTTGGGACTTTGGAATATATGGCACATCCCATTAAGTACGTACTTTGGAATATATGGCACATCCCATTAAGTACGTACAAGACTTGACATGAACCTTAATGAGGAGGAAAGTGCCCAACAGTTCCAAATTAATTGTTAGTAACATTACTTGGATTCTCTTAATTTGTTGAGAAAAATAATGTAACGTTATTGAAAACATGCGTGACATGTTTATCCCAAACAAGAATGTATTGATCTCATCTTTCATACAATCAACAAATTTTTAAAGTTCAGAATTAGATATTGTGCAACATAAAAAAATTGTTATATAGAAATAAGAGATTCTTACCAAGCAAATATAATGAAAAATCGAACTTATCACATATATTAGATGTAAGTGAAATCATTTTACCTTGTGATTGAAAGTCATCTTATATTAATTAGATATTATTTTGTACAGTTGAACAAACATTAATAGCCGGTCCCATTCAGAAGAAGACTAGACTTGAACCTGATTGAGGAGGAAAGTGCAATGAATTGCTATTCAATTGTTAGTAACAATTTGTAACATTGCTGTTAAAATAATAAAATGAAAGCCATTGACTTGTAAATGTTACATGATTATCTGGTTACGGATTGTTGCAAATGCTAACATTTGAGTGAATGAAAGGAGTGTTACAGGAACAGACACTTGGAAACAACCGAATTCAGTATTTTTAACACGAAAAATAGATATGCATGTAATACTAATTGGTAACTTTAGAAAAATTAATACATACATTTTGAACCTATAAATTCTAAAATACAATGAGTTAAAGTGGTAAAAACTTAATAGCTGAACCAGTCAAATTAAAATGTGGATCCAGCTTACACAGTTGCTGGAAACGGTGTTACAAGTCAACAAAAGTTTGCTTAATTTACTTATACATAATACACAACAACAAGAAGAAAAAGAAGACAGAGGGGTGTAGCAACTAGCGAACCGATACATATAATCTTTCTATTAGCTTTGGCTTTGTTCAGAAAGCAATGATGAAAGAACATAGACAATGTTTTGCCATCTTTTTCTTCATTTATCTTGTCTTCTGTTCTTCTCAATTCGCCATATCCCAACGTTTAGTGAATTTCATTTCTGGTGTTCCCACTTTGTGGATCAACAGGCCATCCATCGGGAGTAATTTCAGTAGAGGCATCCTTAATTATACACCTATCCTTCTGGAAGGAAATGCCGGCCTACGATTCCTCTATGGTTTCTCTTGCAATTTCGATCACACAAAATGCTTTCTTGGTATCTCGTTAGTATTATACAACAGCACTGGTGAGACCATTTATATAGAGGGGGGAAAGTTAGTTTGGTCTGCTAATCGAGACCATCCAGTGCAAGTCAATGCAACCTTGCAACTAGGCCGAGATGGCAACTTGGTCTTGGCTGATTCTGATGGCACTCTTGTTTGGTCCACTAACACTACTGGAAAATCTGTTTCAGGCTTAAACTTGACAGAAACGGGGAATCTCGTGCTCTTTGATACGACCAACCGCACAGTTTGGCAGTCTTTTGATCATCCTACAGATTGTTTGCTCCCCGGGAAGAATTTGGTTTCTGGTCAGAACCTAACAGCAAACTGTTGGTGTTTTTTTAAAAATGGGGCAGCACAAACAGATTGAAAATGTCTCTCAATAGATTGAAATGACTTTCAATAGCTTTCAATGAATTTATTAAGCATTGAGGGGCTTTAAATAGCCAACATAAAACACATATTCTGCATAATTTAAAATTTAAACACCCTAAAATATCTCAACAACATAAACAAACTAACTAAAATTCAAAATTCAAATTTATTCAAACTAAATAACTTATTTTGCTAAAAGTTACTGCAGTAACTAAAAGCAAACTTCAACAAAGCATTTCAGCAGACAATTCGAGTCAAGGTTTATTTTCTCTTACTGTTCTCAATGGAAGCTGGGCCACATACATAGATTCTGATCCACCTCAGTATTACTACACTTCAGAAAATCCCAATAGTCCTTATTGGAGTTTTGATGGTCATACCCTTACTGCTTTACAATATCCTCCTACATCGATAGCTCAATACATACAGCTTGGGCATGATGGACATTTACGCGTATACCAATTGGACAACCTTGAACAGAATTTGGTTTCTGGTCAGAAGCTGACAGCAAGCGTTTCAGCAGACAATTCGAGTCAAGGTTTATTTTCTCTTACTGTTCTCAATGGAAGCTGGGCCACATACATAGATTCTGATCCACCTCAGTATTACTACACTTCAGAAAATCCCAATAGTCCTTATTGGAGTTTTGATGGTCATACCCTTACTGCTTTACAATATCCTCCTACATCGATAGCTCAATACATACAGCTTGGGCATGATGGACATTTACGCGTATACCAATTGGACAACCTTGAAAAAAATATGCTCGGCCTTAATTGGAAAGAGGTAGGTGACATTTTGACACTCTCTGACTGTAGGTACCCAATGGTGTGTGGGAGATACAGCATTTGTGTAGATGGAGGACAATGTACTTGTCCAGTTGAAGTTAACTTCTTCAAGCCATTTTCTGAGAGGATGCCTAATCTCGGATGCACTGAGCTGACGCCCATTTCTTGTGACTCTTTGCAGTATCATAGTCTTGTAGAGCTAAAGAATACTGACTATTTTTCATTTCGGTTCAATGATGAACTAAACTCGAGCGTATTTTGGCTTAAAGGGAAAAAGATTGAAGATTGCCAAAGGGCATGTCTGAGTAACTGTTCTTGCAAAGCTGCTGTTTATGATCCGTATCTGAATGTGAGTCTACTACGAGGGAACTGTTTGTTACTGAATGAAGTCTTCTCTCTCATAGACAGTGCAGTAGGAAGCGGCACGACAGTTTTTCTTAAGGTGCAGAATTCCTCAAATGCACCAGTCATTTCCCCTAGACAGAAATTGCCTTTCAAAGTTATCATAGGATGTACTTTGATTGGGATAATTTTGATTCTTTCAGTTTGTTCTGCTCTTTCCAAAAAGAGATCGGAGAAACGCAAAGCTGGTGATTTTCTGGATCTAGAACCAATCTTACCGGGAATCCTAATTCGATTCTCTTACAATGAGCTGAAAATAATTACACAAGATTTCAGCATAAAGCTCGGGAAAGGAGGATTTGGCTCTGTATATGAAGGAACACTGAGAAATGGCACCAAAATAGCTGTGAAGCATCTGGATGGAGTAGGTCAAGTAAAGGAATCATTCTTAACAGAAGTAAAGACAGTCGGTGGCATTCACCATATCAATCTGGTAAAACTCCTTGGATATTGTGCCGAAAAAAGCCACAGGCTTCTAATCTATGAGTACATGGTGAATGGATCGTTGGATAGGTGGATCACGCAAGAAAATGGGCTTACATGGAACACAAGGCAGAGGATAATATCAGATATTGCGAAAGGATTAGCTTATCTACATGAGGATTGCAGCCATAAGATAATTCATTTGGACATTAAACCACAAAACATCCTTATAGATCAAAATTTCAATGCTAAGATATCTGATTTTGGTCTGTCGAAGCTAATTGAGAAAGACAAAAGCAAAGTTGTGACTAGAATGAGAGGAACGCCGGGGTATAT